AGATTCCAATTTAACTTTAATTTTTAAAATGTGCAAAGTGGAAAAACATGTATAAGAACCTATAAAATGTTTTAAGTTCTTATATGGGTACCTCATTATATAACAAGACTAAAAGTTAAGCTTTTAAAAAACTCCAAACTGGGGGAAAGTCCCTCCAAAATACTGTTCTTAGTTTTGAGGTTTATCATCTGCTTCAATTATTTTGGATTCCAATAAGAGATCTTTTACGGTTTTATTTTTCAATAAAAAATGAAGCCCATCATTCCACTTCTTTGGGGGGAGTAATGTGCAAATTCCTGTTTTACTGGAATAAATAGGATACACCTAAAGGTCACTACACTATAGTGGAATTGATTGGCTAGTTCATGTAGAACTTAATCATACTGAAAATTAATTAAAATGAGCTGCTTTTTTGAGGGGAATGGGGGTAGAACCAAGACTTGTGATTTCCCTAGATGTGAAAATTCTCTTTTCCAGTGCAGATTGGAAACTTGTCTATAACTTGGTACAGCTAAGTGCTAAGCTAAGAGCTTGGGGCACTGAAAAGTGAAGTGATGTGAGCTTGGTCACAGAACCAATATTTCTCCATGGTAGGACTTGAACCTACATCTCTATAACTAGCCACCTATCCATTAAGTCAGAGATGTCAAATATGCAGCCTACAACACTATCAGGTATGACCTGCACCAGATTAAAGTGTAAATGGGAAATATTTACCAAAATAAAAATAAAATATAGTAAGACATAGATATTACATTTCAAAACCAAGTCAATATGCAGACATCTGGAATCTTTATCTATGATTTAGTGGCCCCTGTTTCTATTTGAGCTTGACACAACTCAATTAGGTCATACTGCCTCTTCTGTTGTCACAGCACTGAGATCCTTACAATGACTTTTAAAAGTACATTATAATTCTATCTGGTCCTAATAGATATGTGTACAAATTGTTGTAAATGTCACACAACTTCCATTTTTAGTCAGAGCACAATTATCACTGCTTGGAAGAAACAAGTTACTTGAGTAACGTTCACAGTTTACAAACTAACATAAGAGATGTTTTCTTAAGATTATCTCTTAGAATTAACCAACTCTCAATTATCTAAGCCATGGGAGATGATTGCGCAAGTAAATACAAAAATTCTTTTACAATAGCCTTTGGAACGTAATGACTTTCTTTAAACAACTTATTTAAAGCCTGTTTTCTTTAGATTATTAAAATTAGGCCATCAGCTGCTAGGTCCTAAGTCACTAACTTGGAAGTTAAAGAATCTGAGTTAGAATCTTGGTCCTTCTACTTCCTACATGTGTAACTTCGGCTAAATTACAATCTCCTAGGTTCTCAGTCTATTTATTTATCCAATAGAAGAACTGTACTGGATTATCTTTGAGGTCCCTTACAGCTGTGGAATCTCTTGTCTTATATACATGAGCCCAGTGCTATGCCAGATGGTAGAAAAAAAACTAATCTAAGAAAAAAATGATTGCAGAAAATTCACATGAAGATACTTGAGAGTTGATTAACCTCCTTTATTATATATGATAATATAATAAATAATTTTCCTTACATGTTTCAGAGGATAAAAAACCAAAGAATAGGAGCAAGGCCTGCTTGATTATTTTGTCTTCCTCTATAAGTTGAATTATTTGTGCCAAAAATATCAGTAATTTGGTATTCAGTGTTTAATGTGTTCTGTCCCTAAGTTTTAACTTACTTACAGCAACATGGCTTTCTTAATGTACATTTCCAATTTAACTGGCTGAGGAAATTCACATAATTTTAACTTTTCCTTTGCAACAGACCCTCCAAGTGTTTTCAGCATGCCTGAGGCTGACTTCAAAAGAATTTTTTGGGTGCTAACTCTGCCTATTGTTACATTACTTTTCCTAACTACACCAGACTGCAGAAGAAAGTTTTGGAAAAACTGCTTCATGATAACCTTTTTCATGGCTGCAATATGGATTTCTGCATTTACTTATGTTCTTGTTTGGATGGTCACAGTAACTGGTATGTATCCTCAGTATGCAATTCAGACTTAAACATTAGAACTGAAAGAGATTTTACAGTTTATCTCTGCTCATTTACAGATGAGGACACTGAAACCCAGCACATTTAGATTGGATGATTTATCCAAGGCTATCCAGGTCTGCTAAGTTTTAGCTCCATTTAATGTACGAACAAAGACTTTATGTTCATTAGAGGTAGCTTAGTGAAATGTTTACTACTTCAGCAAAGATAAAGTTTAATGTTATTTACTAGGATTTATGACTAAATGTTAATAACAATGTCACTATCCAAGTACTGCCATCTCACTGTAACAGTCTGTAGGGTTCTACCCTGTAGGCCCACTTCAGGATATGGTCTGTTACTCCAGTAACTCAATTCCCTTGGATAGGGTCCAAAAGAGACTCTCTATGCCAAGTTCCTTTTCAACACTATTACTAAGGAGAGGGCAGTATATTGGGAAATGGTATCTTTCTCAAAGATTATGTAGGGTTTAGGCCAGTGTATTAGTTCACAGGAAGAATTTTAGAATTGCCAGCAGTCAGGGCAACAGAATTTATCAAATATGCCATATCAGAGTCCCCAAGTTCACAAACATAAGAACTAAGAGTAGCTTTACCAAAATACAAAAAGGAACACGTAAAAGATGGCGATAAGAAATGAGTGAATGGTAACAAATTGATTCCAACATAAACATATGAGCTTCCAATAAACAAACTAGATTTCTAGTTAAACTGTTTTAATTGGCATCATACACAAGAAAAAAATGGTTCTAAAGCAAGTTTTCATTCAAAGTAACACAAAAGAAGCAATTCTTACAGTAACTACTTCCCTCCAGTTCCTTTCCTAGAACTATTACATCTCTGAAAAACTAATCATTAGCTAACATCAAAATTTACAGGAATATAAAAAAATTTGGACCTCGCATTAGGAAGACTTTAATAGAGCCCTATTTCTTCTCTGTTGGGGAGTTTACATGCTTTCCCAAAGAGTACATTACATAGAGTTCATTATTTAATTATGACTTTTTTTAGAAACTCACTTTAAAATTGCTTAAATAACAAAAGAATTATATTTGTATAGCTTAGAAACAGCTGTCAAGAATTCTTGACTAAAACTACAATGATACCAAAATTATCTAAAGAAAAAAAGTGGTTTTCATAGGATGTTTATTTTTAAAGGCTACAGCCTCAGATTAAAATAAAGGTCTCTAATAATGAATGCCATCCACAACTTCTGTCAGGGCACAAGAAAAGTGAATAATCACTCAGTAGTAGAATTCCAGCTGATAAACATCCTAAACAGTGTGATCTAAAAGTCCATAAAATTTCCAAACTCTCTGTTAAATAGTACTTGCTGAATATATGACTGAGCACAAAGTAGTGTTGCAACTTAAATAGTTTTGTCCAGGGAAAAGTTTCTTTACAAAATAGTTAATGAACAAACTGGTGACTAAAACCACCATGAGTTTTTTTACTTATCAATATTTTGTCACTCATAGGAGAAACACTGGAAATTCCAGATACAGTAATGGGCCTTACGTTATTAGCAGCAGGAACTAGCATACCAGACACTGTTGCAAGTGTGTTGGTTGCAAGAAAAGGTAAGAACTAGTTCAGGTTTTTATGCCCAATCCTTAAACTGGCTCACATACACAGGGAAAAGACATTTGTAAAAATAGTTCACTTCCTCAATATACTTCACTGAACAAAGCAAATCAAGAGAAAGAAAAATGACAATTTTAGCAGCTTAAGTTCACTAAACCTGAATTGTAAAGAATTAAATTCACCTGAAAAACTTATTAAAGCTTAAACATGTTAAATTAAAATTAAAAACAAGTAATCTACATAGTCTACGAAAATGGTTTAATAAATAAAGATAATTACTATTTGATAAATAAATGGTAAGTCTTTAAATACTAACTAAAAACAAATGAGCATATACAAATTCAGTAAGAATTCTGCTCTAAAACAAGTTTTCCAAAACAGAAAAAAAGGTATCCAGTGTAACTGATGAAGCAGCTTATTAATAAAATGTTAACTTAATGTGCACATTTCAACAATGTACTCTTTTCTTTTGCAGGTAGAGGAGACATGGCTATGTCTAACATTATAGGATCCAATGTGTTTGATATGTTGTGTTTAGGTGCTCCATGGTTTATTCAAACTGCATTCACAAATACATTGGCTCCTGTCAAAGTCAACAGCAGTGGATTGACATACACAGCTATTTCTCTCATTCTTTCCATTGTTTTTCTTTTTCTAGCTGTTCACTTGAATGGCTGGAAACTAGACAAGAAGTTGGGGATAGTTTGTCTAGTAATGTACTTGGTGCTTGCTACATTATCAGTTCTCTATGAACTTGGAATTATAGGAAACAATAAAATAAGGGGCTGTGGAGACTGATCTTTACTAGTGTTACAGGGATAAAATGACCTATTTGGGACAGAGGTGTAAGGATGTGGGGGTGGGGAGCAGGAAGTAGCCATTTCATTTAATCAAATAAAAAACATCCCAAACTCCCTCTAGGCTGAAAAACTTATTTACAGTAATTCTGCACCATGGCATAAAACTAATTTTAAACAAAAAAAACCACAACCTAATTTATCTGAGCCCTTTCAAGTTAAAGTATGACTACAACGCATATAGAAAACTGAAGTTCTGGAAAAACATCTATTTTTTACATTACAATAAAGTAGGTACAAGCTGGGGAAATTTGAACACTAAACAAATCCCACTATGCAGTATTGAAAGTAACAATGGGTAAATGGCTTATCTCATTAAAAACAGTATAACCATTCATTTAAACTGAATGACCAGAGCCACTGTCTTTAAAAACTAAAACTCAAGTTTGTTAGCAAGAATTACAGTATATTTTAACACTATACTGTTAAAGGCTGGTGGGATTTAAAAGTTCATTTTTACAGCTTCTTTAAGCATACAATGTTACTAAAATGACTTTTTACTAGGCTAGAGAAGTTAAACATATGTAGGAATGTTCTGAATGTAGTCTGAAATTATGCATTACGATCCAGGCGTACGTCAATTTCTCTGCCACTGATTTTTATGCCATTCATTATTCTACAAGCCTTTTCAGCTGATTCTGGTGAGTCAAATCTGACTGTTCCACAGCCTTTTGACTTTCCATTCTCCATTTTTATTTCAGCAAACATTACATGACCTGTGAAAGCAAAAATATACAATTACTAGAGTCAATTAAAAAGGGCTTTATTTCATTTATATGGGTTTGAACACCATCGTAAGTACAGTAAGTACATTTAACACTAGTGATTTTTAAACAACAGTCCAAGAAAGCAACATTCGGAGAAGTTTTTATATTTAAAACAAAGATTATTCACCTGGGGCTAGGAACTTTTAAAACTACTCTAATAACTCTATTTCAATATTATTGATTTCCTTTGTAATCCTATGTATTTTATTTTATGCATTTAAAAACATTATTATGAGAAGGGGTCCATAGGTTTCACCACTGCCAAAAGAGTCCATGAACCTTTGCTTTAAAATGAGGTGAAACAAGTATAAAATTATACATATATTGCTAGACAATACACAATTAGATTCAGAGTCAATTTGCTTAGGGCTTAGGTGCTCTAAATTTATTGTTTTGATATTAAGTCACTAAAAAGACTTTTCAAGTCCATTTCTTAAAGATATCAGATTGCCCAGAAATCTATTGCATAGAACTCCACCAAAACCTGCTAGATCAGAAAATGTATTTAAACAAATACATTGTTCAATTATATTCTCCCCTGTCTGTATTCTCAAATTCTACTCCCCTCAATTGGAAGTAACGGCACAGAAACATAATCATTCCCAGGCTCCTTCTGCCATCAATAGGAGGTACCACAGGTGCCACAGCAATTTTTTCTACACTCAAAAAACTCCAAATTGAGAATGTGGTGACAGGACCTGATAGCACACAATATGAAACTGAATCAGAAAGGGAATATGACCCTAGGCTTAGCATTTAAGAAAGGCAGAGACAGTAGTAGCAGTGTTGAGAGGAGAAAGAGTGGAGGGGGTGCACCCTGGGCCTACTCCTGCCTATTCTGGGACAGTAGTAGAAACTGCTGAGGTCCTTCAGAGAGAAAAAAGACAGGTATTTGAGATAAATTATTAAAACCCAAAAAGGTTACTGACTTACATGTATAACTATTCATGACTCCTCTCTCTTCCTGATGATAAAACCCTTCAGGTTCAAATTTTAAAATATAAATTAAGATAATAGGGTTCAAAAAGTTTATTTTCCAGATCACCAATAATAAATTTTATTCTAGCAACTAGATAGGAGAGCAAGATATTCACTTTAATTATTTGCTTTGTAACACACTGAAATAATAAGTCCCATACAATGATAATGGAACCCCTTGTTATTCCTAAAACCTGGCTTATTCAAACTTTATATTTTCAAAGGTCTATAAAGACCTTTTCATTTCCCAAGTCATGACAGGAACTACATTGATTTTTTTTTCTTATCTATAGTTCTCTCTTCTTGAGTCTACCACTTTTTGCTCTCCCTTGTCTCAACTAGCAGTCAGAAACTTGTCTCTTCCACAGATCTGCCCTCTACTAACAAAGTGGTGTGAGAACACAGGTGCCATACTCAGTTAGACCCAGAGTCTAAGTCTAGTTGAGGTAGTTTTCAACTCAAGACAGGTCGTGTTCCAAAAGTATTCATGGAACATGGTCATCAAAGAACACAATTTCCCAAATAAATAATTTTATAAATAGAAGGTAACCACTCGATCAGTAAGTATTATCTATCATGGAAATGTGCAAGACTGGGGCTTAGGAGAGATGATTTTTTTGAAAACCTTATTTTCAAATAAAGGTAGATAAGGTAGATTTGGGAGCCATCTGTATAGAAATCCATGGAAGCTAAGAATGCTGAAAAAGAATTACAGGGAAAAGAGAGGGATATGACAGAGTGCTAGGGTACACCTACATACATGGGGCAGGTCCTCACCTAATGAACCTGCAAAGGAGAAAGAGAAGAATCAGCCCAGCAGGTAAGAAGAGAGCCATTATAGAACAGTGTCAACCCCCCCCCCAAAACCAAAAAACAAACCAAAGGTGGTGAAAGTATGCAGAAGGAGGGTGTTCAACAGTATCAAACAAAGGAAAGGTCAAGATGGATAAGAACTGAGAAAAAGAATAATAAAAATATCATTGTTGGTTTTTCAAAAAGAATAATGTCTATGAAGTGGTGAAGGTTTGATAAGTGAGTGGGAGCTAAGGAAGCAGAAGTAGCAAGAACAGACAAGTTTTTCTATTAGTTTGGCTGTGAAAAAAAGAGGCAAAATATAGGATGACAAGTTGAGGAGATATTACAGTCAAGTGAAGGTTTTGTTTTTGTTATTTTTAAAGAATGAAGGAGGTCTGGATAGGTTTCAAATATCCAGGAAGGAGTCAGTGGTTAATGTGAAGTTGAGAGGATCCTGAACCCCAGAACTTTGGGAATAGCAGTGTCTACCAAACTACCCAGAGATATTAATGCCTGGCCCCCAAAGATATCAATGGGAGAAATCATTGTGGAGAGGGAACCCACCTCCCTCATAACCACCAGCAACAACAGCTGACCAACTGCCACCAAAAGGTAGCTGGGCATAGGAACCCTGGAAGTGGCAGCACCATCTCCCCCTCCCACAAATTTTCTCTGAGCATTTCTCTCATTTCTCATACCTTTCTCGCTCCTTGTCTCAATTAGGAACAAAAATTTAAGAAGGTGAGTTCAAGAGCACAGACTCCCACGCCCTGGCCTCATACTATGTCACAATTCCAACAAAACAGATACAGAACATTTATTAAGTGCTTACCAGATGCCAGGAACTGTGCCAAACAATGGTGATATAAATGGTGAATAAAGACAACCCTTGCCTTCAAGGAACTTACTTTCTAATGAAGAAAGGCACAAAGGAGAGCTGGAGGGAGGGATGGCATTCATGCAGTAGCATGGTGTGGAGGACAGGAAGTGCCATGAAGTTCAGATTCTTACAAGATAAGGCAAAAAAAAAAAACCCAAAAAACTAACCTACCAGAGCTGGGAGAACTAGAGCTACAGTCTAAGGTTAGGGGAGGTGAACAGAAGAGAAGAGATATAAGGATGATGGTCAGAGAATAGGCAGCAAGGTGAAAAGATGACTGCAACTAGCAAACACTTAAAGTCTCTCCCACCAACAGATTCTAAGTCTTCACCCAAGGTCAACGTTGTGATTTGTGGTTAGAGAATGCAGGAGCAGGGTCCAGACTATCCTCCGTGTGCCAGCCTGCTCCAAATTCGAAAATGTCCCATTCTTTCCCATCTTCCTCATTGTGCTCATGCTATGCGCTCTGTTTTGGGGCGTCTCCCCACTTGGCCTGTTTTCATCTACCATCCATCCCACGTGCCGTGTGCTTCCTTTATAAAGGCTTCTTCCTCAGCAACTTGGATCTTGTACCAATCATTCTTATGTCATCCACGCCATACCATTCCATAAGCTTCACGAAAGCAAGGCCTAGTTAACACTCCCTGACGCCTCAAACATGCACTGGGAGATGCTGAACTCGAAGGGGAGGGCAAATATTTTCCTACTGATATATAGAAAAAAAAATGTACATTTCACATTACTAAGAAGTCTGGTTGGCTTTTTTGGGTATATTAAAATATACCCAAAAGCCTGCTCCTTTTTGTCAAAGAATTAAAATAACTACTTATTTTGTGAGATTTCAAATAGGAAAAATAAGACAATTAAAAACAATTCCTATTACCAATATGAATGAAATGTGTCACTAAGTATTATTAAAAGACGTTTGCATACATAACTGTAATACAAACTAATTATGTAGATTACATATGTTTATGTAAATATTTATGCTTAAAAATAAAAAATTTTCTATGCTTTTATCTAAAAGATAGACCAATATGTTAAAGTATTTATTAAGCTATCTGTACCTCAACCAAATACATTAGAAAACTACAAGGGTATATGAGTAACAGAATTTAGTGGGCAGTAACGGACGGCACTTGCAGGAATGTGAAGTCATAACAAATAGCAGCTATGGCATGCTTTCTCATTCTTAATTCTTAACGTAGTTTCTGACACTTTTTATCTATCACAGACTCCTACACTTTTGAATATATGCTATATTTCTCCCCTCCCCACTTTTTTCCTACTTCTCCAAAAAAGAAGTGATATTTATGTTTTTCTGCCTAGTATAATGTCTGTAAGAAAAGTGAATCCATATTTTTATGTAAAGTAGAAAAATGCAACATGACATTATTAGTTAATTTGAAATAAACATACTTTTCTTAATGAAAGACCTAAAAGTTTCCAAATAGGCACCAATTGCATAAAATAATAGTATCTGATCAAAACCTACCTTGCATGACAAAAAATCTTTTTAACTCTTTTAACAGTTGAGTATACTATGCAGAGAATTCTGAAAAATAAATATCATTCCAACTTATGCTAATTAGCTAAAGGGGAAATATTTGAATAAACAATTCCACAAGTTTTATTCAGCTAGGTAGGTCAGTGGATGGAGTGCTGGGCATGGAGTCAGGAAGACCTGAGTTCAAATGAGGCCTCAGATACTTTCTAGCCATGTTACCCTGGACAAGTCACTTAACCTGTCTGCCTTAATCCACTGGAGAAGGAAATGGCAAAACACTCCAGCATCTTTGCCAAGAAAACTCCATGTCAAGTACTGGTGTGACATGGTCTACTGAGTAACAAAGACTCAGACATGCATGACTGAACAACAACAGTAATATGATTCATTATTTGGTAATGTAACAAGAGACTATTTAGTAACATCACAGAATTTACACATTCATGTCTGCATTATCTTTCAAAGTTATCTTGGGAGATATAGGTAATTCTAAATATACTGCCATTGCTCAAAATATGTTTGCAACTTCTGTTCTGAAACTAACTTTAGGAATAAACACAAAATATCAAAATAGACTCAATTTTTAGTCACTCCTTGTTTGGGACCAAGTTATCCCCAGCTTAATGATTCACCTCATTCACCAGAGTTGCCTCCAAATGACTTTTGGCTGTTTTCAAAAATGAAATGGGCCATTTCTCGGTATGGCCAAAGGAATGCATTATGTGATTTTTAAATTGTTAAGTAATAGCTGCAACACTGAAATAAGACTATAGACTCCCATGGTGAATA